GTGGCGGACACGGACACTGACCTACGCATGATCGGCAAGGAGGCACGGAGTGTGCGGGGAGGTGACAAGAGCCAAAGGTCAAAATAGAGGTGGGGCACGGTCGTGAGAGCAGGCAGGACCCTGGGGCGGAATCACAGGTGAGGCCTCGGGGCGCCTTTCTGAGAAGATGAAGGAGGGAGGCATGGGCACCGGCAGCAGAGGGGCCAGTGCGACCACACCCTCACTGGCTCCCCCTCCCAGGCTTGTCCCCGTATGCTGGTGAGGGCGGCCTCAGGTTTCCCTTCCGGCACACCCGGAGCTGGTGTCCGTACCTGGCCTGTCTTCAGAAACCCTTCCCACAGGTTAACTTTTGAGATGCCACAAGTCTCCTTGGGTGAGAGTGTGGTGAGCAGTTTGCATATTGGAATCTAAACTATTTTTTTCTAAAATAGAGTGAACTTCAAAGTATTTGAGCCTGAACATGAAAGTCCGGGTAGGGCTTCCACAAGTGGGTTGGGACTCCCTGTGACCAGTGGACCGTCCCTGTGCGCCCTCAGCCTGCGTGCATTGACCAGCTCCTGCGTGCACACCACCCCCCCATGCACACCACCCCCCCATGTGCACTGACCGCCCCCTACATGCTGACCACCCCCTGCGCTGACTGCCCCCCCACTAACCCCCCTGCACTGACCGCCTCTGCACTGACCGCCCCCGCACTGACCACCTCCTGCACTGACCGCCTCCTGCACTGACCGCCCCCTACGTGCTGACCACCCCCTGCACTGACTGCCCCCTGCCTTCTGACCGTCCCCCTGCTCACCCTCAGCCTACGCACCTCTTCCTGTTGGCAGGCACCCCGTGCTCCTCTGCCCTTTGCTGTGCTGATGCGAGCCGTTGAGGCATCTTCTCACGTCTCAGGGGCCTGGGTAGAGCCTCTGTAATACCTGCCGTCCGAGCAGTTGCTGGAGGGGGCCTCAGCACCCCAGAGATGTGGGGCCGGTGTTGGTCAGTGGGGTGGCTGCAGCGAGAATCCCATAGACCAGATGCAGTATGAACAGAGTTCTGGGGGCTGGAAGTCTGAGATCAGGCCGCCAACATGGTTGGATCCGGGCGAAGGCCCTCTTTGGGAGCGGACGGTGGTATCCCCACGTGGGGGGGACCAGAGGGGGAGACCTGCTGTCGCGTGACTCTTACGAGAGCGCTAATGCCACCGTGAGAACCCCAGCCTCCTGACCTCCTCTAAACCCGATCACCTCCCAGAGGCCCTTCTTCCTAACACCATTCCGTCGGGGGGCAGGACTTCAACGTACGAACTTCGGGGTGCAGAGCATTCAGCCTGTGGCCACGTGCACGGTTGGGTCCAGCCAGGGTGGGGGGCCTTGGCGTGGCCGCCTCCTGTAAAAGCCAGGTGGAGGGTGCTCCTGGCGGCTCGTGCTGGGGGAGGGGGCCGATAACTGCAACTGCCCCCTGCCTCCCCCTGCCTGGGAGTGCAACGTCTTTCCTTTGTCTGCTCTGGGTGAGCACCTCCGTGTCACGATAGCAGCCGGCATTCGTGGAGTGTCCGCCATGGGCATGTGGCAAGGCCTGTGGCGGGCCCTCATCATGGGCGGACCCCGGCAGACTCTGCAGCCGCTCTAGGAGTGAGTTTACGGGGGAGGCACGGAGAAGTCACACGGCTTGCCCAGAGTGGCGGTCTGCGTGGTGTGGCACAGGGCTCAGACCCCCGGCGTCTGACTCCAGGGCCTGCTGCCAGCCGCCGGCCTCACTGCCTATGGCGGGGCCTGTCCACCGGCGAGTCCAGCCCCAGGGGACTTTGCTGGTTGTGGCATCTGGGGCAGGGAGTGGCTGCTCCTGGCGTGGAGTGGGCGGAGACCAGGGCTGGCTGCGGCCCCCCCCCCCCAGCCCCCCGCACCCACGCGCAGTGCCGAGGTGGCCCCTTAGGGAGCTGACCCCCCCGGGGGGCTGGCAGTGGCGGGCAGAACCCCTGGGCCTGTGTTCAGTCCCCTTGGTGGCCCGTTTGTCGTCGGGATGGCTCACTCTGTGTCCGTGCCAAGAGGGACACGTCAGTGCTCGCTCCTGCTCGACCGGGCCCGGCACGGAGGTGTCGACTGGCACCTGGTGGGAGTCTAGTGGGGAGACACGAGGAGGTGAGTCTTTCACCCCCGCGAGCGGGACGGGGCCTCAGAGCGGTGGATGGGACCCAGAAGCACCCAGGTGTAGAAGTGCCAGGTTTGTCTTGTTGAGGAGGGCATATCATGGAGGGTTTCAGAGAGGAGGTGAGATCCGTAGGGTTTCCGGGAGGGCGAGGCTCCGGGCTCGGGCGGGGAGGTGCCGGGTCGGCTGGCTTCCCTGTGGGGTCACGTGCGTCTTCACGCTTCATCTGTATGCTTTGCGGGTTCCCCAGAGGGCAGGGACCACGTCCCAGTCCCTTTGCTTCCCCTTGCTGCACCGGGTCATTCCATAAATGTTGCTGAGGTGCACGGGGCTGTCCTCGGGGCCTGGTGACCACGTGCTGTCCCTGCCTCCACACCCCGCCCCACCCTCGTCCCTGCATGGGCCACACGGCCGCTGTTCAGGTGAGGGACCTGTGAATTCCACGTGACGAGAGTGCGCGTGGCGCGGTGCCGTGCCATTGGGAAAGCCCGGGACGCTGCGTCCCACAGGGCACGGTCTGCTTGGAGCGCTGCTTGTCCTTGCCACGGCCAGCGTTCGTGTCGGGCGCCTGTGCCTTTACGGCGCGTCACCGTGGGGCGCGCACGTCACCTGCTCAGTGTCTGCCCCTGAGAGACGGCGGCCTGAAAATTCAGTGCTGTGCCGCGTGGCGCTCTCAGGCTGGCCTTCCGGTGCCTGTTCTTTACCTCTAGACCGTGCTGCCTTCCTGAGCAAACACCTGAGAGATCTAGACCTGCAGTCAGGTGCGCTTGCTTGATTTAGGCTGCCGCTGGCTTCGTGGCAAGGTGCGTGTCTGCCGGGAAGGGGGCACGGCCAGGTGAGGTCTGTGTCGGTCGCTGACCGTGACTGAGCTGCGGGCGGGTAGTGGGTGGGCACTGACTGGTGAAGGTTAGACCCACTCTGAGGGGCCCCGGAGGGGGGAGGCCGACGTGTTTTCCACTCACAGTAGCAGGAGACCTGGCTGTCGGCCTTCCGGCTTCCTGGGGGGACCTGCTGTCGCTGTGCCTTCCAGACCCCACCTGCCCCATCGTAGAGTGACCAGATGTGTGCTCCGTGCAGGAGTCAGTGGTCCTCACGTATCCTCAGTGTGGGGCTTGAACTGAAGAACCGTGAGATCGTGACCTGAGCCGAAATCAAGAACCGGACACTTAACCGACCGAGCCACCCTGGTGCCCCTTGTCACGTGTCCTCATAAATCGCACTGATCCTGTCCGATCGCAGAGGAGTGAGATCAGCACGCTTAGTTCTGCGATAGAAGGGGGACTGTTCTTTCTGCCCGTTGCTTTTCCTAAAGAATCGTGACACGTGGCTCAGTGATAGATTCTGAGGGTGGTGGTGTTGCGGGGGGGGGGGGGGTCTGAACATCCCGCCACTACCCTCCCCCTGCAGAGTCCTCCCCGAGGTGGGCCAGCGGGACGCCTCCTGCAGGTGAGGGGTCAGCCCTGAGGAGGGCCCGGGAGGTGCTCTCACCATGACGCCCACTTCTGTAGGCTTTTCTGGAAGCCTGACTGGGCCGGACTCTGCCCAGAGGCCGTGGGCCGCCTTGCTGCCCTGTGGCCTGAGGGTTTCTGTGTGAAGCCTTCCCCATCTGGGTTTTTAGGGTGACGGGTCCGCTCTGCCGACGGGAGGGACGGTGGGGGTCCTCCAGCCGCTGCCAACAGCCAGCACGCACGCTTCACGTGTCTGTCCCTGGCCCCGTTTCATTTCCTGGAGCTTATTTATCCCTCCGCTTTAAATCTCATTTTTGGAAGGTGTGAACCATCGATGGTATTTCGACCTGGGGGTGTGCGCCCGTCACTGCCATTTGCTCGTGGGCCCCTGTTGGTCCCGGTGGCTCTTTGTGAGTGGCCTGTTGGGCCTTGGGCTCTTTCCTGTGGCTGTTCCCGGTCTTGGCTTGCTGGGTTTCGTGCACTGTTTCACCTCGGTCCTGTGCGTCCAGTCGCGGGGTCGCTGGGCCTTCGCGCGTGGTG